ATACATGCAATCTTTTAATTCTACTAATAAATAAGACAAAATTGAAAGATACATACACAAGAAATTCATATAAATATAATTCAAATAAAGATAGATACAACAAGTAATGCATAGTTTTAAGTTTATTGCATAAGTATGTATTTTGAAGAGGTATTTAGCTTGTTAAATTGGATAAGGGACTTAACTTTTAAGGTTTCATACAGATATACAAAAGTAATCAAATGAAAGATAACATGCTGCACCGAAAATTCAATGTTATTTGATAGAGCACTTTACAATGTTGAAAGTGAAATATAGATTATAGTTCATAACTACAAATGTAAATACCATGCAAAGATTAAATGTTATTGAACAATAATTCAAAAAATTTGTATGTTAATTTAGACAGCCATTGTTATCATAACTAAATCAGTCAAGCAAGTTAATATACAATCAAAGATGAGCAAATGAAATGTTTGTTATTTACTATTTGTTATTATATCTTACTCTTTAATGCGTTGAACTTGTAAAAAATTTTTTATTGCCGCAAAAAGTTGAGGAAAACTAGATGTATCCATGTCGATTTTCGGAAGATCAACAAATTTTACTACACAAGATGTCAATTTCACCCATCAGTTTGAGTATTAAAATAAAATATTTATTAATTTAACAACTATTCGGTGGTATTTGTTTACGTCAAAACCTGTACAGATAACTTATATCCATAAAGTTTCAACTAAATAACAATATCTTTTTTTGTTTCATTTTAAATAATTTACTTATTCATCTTTAACACTCTCGTTACGGGTGTCGCGGAACTACTGAACACAGTAGATACTGAAAGCTCTCATATCACTATCCACAAGGCCGACAAGATCGCGAAACCATATACATGTACGCAAGTATGTACAACTACCGTATATATGTATACAGTACATATGTAGATAGTCGTCGGTACATGGAACTTATTATGAAAAATAAACAATCTTTTATATTTAAGCTTATTTTTATATCAGTGCGTTTAAATCGTAATTAGAAGTTTAAATACATCGTGTATGATTATAGTAAAAATAATTCTATACTAGACTGTAAAATTAACTATTTAGTTTTATTATACTTATTCACAGGTTATTGTTGTGTTAAAATAAATTGTACTAAATGACAAATACTTGAAGTTTTATGTAATCAAATATTAACTTCATAAACCTGAAATAAACATGGTATAAATATAATAAAAAAATGATATGTACGTATATATTTTGATAAAAATGCTGAAATGTAATAGAATATTATTTGGTTATGTGAATTCAGAGTACATACGTATAATGTAAAAATCTCCCGCTGAGTTGTCACGACAACAAAATATCTGAAACAAGATTCAGTGTTTTCGTGTTTCAAGTTTCATCGTTCCGCGAGTTCAGCTACATACAACTGTCAGCTGTTCAATATATGAAATAATGTTAGTGTACAGCAGTATGTATGTATGTGTGTACATATATACATGGATATAGTAACTTGTAGGTATCATTCGACATCTGTTCCCAAATATTGTATAAGCGTGCGCGTGCGTATATTTGTATTTGCGTACGTGCAAGAAAGAACTGAGTGACAAAGGAAGGCAATAAAACTAAAGAGAAAAAGAGATATAGAAAGAAATTTAAAAAGGAAGTGCAGAAAGTGTTCTTACGCGCACCAACTGTGCGATTTATGCAAAATCTCGCGCGTAACGTGGATGTATTGACACAAGGATTAAAATACAGTATATCAGGACTAATGAACCTCGCAAATCAAACTACTGATCCTCAAAGTGGTGTTTTCTTTGTTAATTTTAATCAGGATTGTACGTAAGTGTCACACCCTCAACTACTAGATGGTTGGGGACGTCGTCCTTTGTTCCCTAACCTCGCTCTCCTTATGTTTAAGAAACTTTTCCTCTGGAGTCAAATCATAAGGAACCTTTTGTTTACAATAGTTCCATTTTTTCGTTCAGTAATTGTATTATTTACCCTTGATATTATATATTCTGACGTATACGTTTCGCATGTAACAGTGTTTTCTGGTTTTCTCTACTTGTGTTTAGTAGTCTCATTTTACCAAGTAATTGCGTTTTAATAATGTACGTTATTTAACAGATCACATCGTAAATCAAGATATTATTCGCATACAAGAACTATATAATATTTAACTGTTATATCATGTTTTTGATATTACTTGTTTTTTTCCTTTCATTAACCTTCTAAATTATTTAGTAATAAAGAATTGTTATTTCCTTATGATTCGTATCCATTAATTATATTGATTACAATTACCATTACAAATACCCATTATCATAAGGTAATTTCATAAGATTTATACCATTAATACATTTGTCAAAATTATTTATATATATTTTATCTTAAGTACTTATATGATATTGTAACTTATATTCATAGAAGTATGAAGTAAGAGACCAGATTAACTATATATATACATATACTTAAGAAATATAAAATAAGAAATGTAACTCAT